TATATTCTTTTTTAGTATCGGTGGTGTAGAAGAGAATAGAAGTGAATCATTTATTGCTTGCAAACCAATGATGGTAAGATGATGTCATGGGGTAGGACTGGATAAGTCTGACTTCTTCCTACTCCATTCAAGCATGTACTAGGTATAAGCAAATTGATATTGGATTGTGTGTAAAAATGTGTGTTATATCAACTGTTTTATATGCTTGAAAGAATAAATAAATCAAATCAAATTATAAATTTATGCATATTCATGTCATCAACGGATAAGATCAAGTGCAACACATAGAACACCTTGAAAAGGTTGTCTTTATTAGTAAGGAGGATGAACTCATTAATCGCACTCCACAACCACACTGCATTAAGTTTTACCTGTGAAATCTGTTTATTAAATGTGTAGTAAGAAAAACATTAAGCAAAATGTCATAAAGCGACTGTATTTAGAAACCACCCCATAAACAAAACTAAACCATGTGACTGGCAAAATGTTTAAAGTCAACTCTGAAAAATAATAATACTGAAAGTAGGCAACACAGAACAACAATAACTGGTCTTCCCAATATGAGAAATCAAGGTATTTTGCAAAAAGTACTTTTGGTTACTTGTACTTGGCAAAAAGGTACCAATTTGTGACAAATGGCAAGACAATGCAGTTAAATGATAAAAAAAAAAAAACACTTTGCTACTAACGGACTGCCAAACCTTTCAGGCAATGTCATTCTCAACCACATATTTACATCTATTCACTAGAATAAAACACAAAACTCTTCAAATAATGAAATGGTATGGGGAAATTCATATTTCATTCATTTGGCTCATAACTCATAATACAGTCAAGAATTAAGTGTGTGGATTTACAAAGGAGTGCTGTAGTCAAAAGTCTGAGCGTGGATTCCTTTTGCCCCAGTGAGTGTGCTCGGACATCTGCCAACCTGGAATTGTTTCTTGTCCTTACTTAGCTCAAAAGACAACTGCATCTCTGAGACTACAGTAAACTTAGCTGACCCCTGAGTTTCTAATGCAAAACTAGTGTATGAAATACCTCATTACAGTGTATTTTAGTGCAAGCCAGCAATATGCTTGATTAAACAGAGGTATATTAGATAGCACCCAAGCTGAAAAGATTCCCCAGAATGGTTATTCTGCTGGCCAAATCACAACAAGCAGTATGGGAGGTGGTCTTTTGCTCTTGTATCCTTGTGAAAACCAGCAGTTCAAATGCTTGAATTTGTATTACATTTATAAACTTGTTTTTTTTTTTTCATAGAAAATATAAATATCCCTGAATGAAAGTGATTCACAGCGTTTCCTCTCAAGGAGTCCAGTGCTACTACCATAACGTGGCCATTAAGTGTCTTTAGGGTCTCCAGTTAATTTCTGTCTCTGCCTTTCCTCTAGCAACTATGTACTTCCTTCGCTGTCGTGATAGTTTACCGTTCGCTTCCCCCGGTTCCGGGTGTTCACACGCGTCTTTCGATGCCGTTTGGTGTACAACATGTCGCTATACTCCTCCTCCTCCTCTTCGGAGGCAGCCCGCTGAGGGCGCTGCCTTAGCTGGCGGCCCGCAGTCCTTTCACCAATCCCAGACCGTCCGTGGCACCTCCTCTTTGGACTGCTGTGGGACCCTGAACTGGCAAATGAGTTTTCAGAGGCTGAAGATGAATGCTCGCTTTCAGATTCAGACTGTGAAGAGGTGTCGTCCTCGTTGCTGTTACCAACTTGTTGGGGGGATTCCCTTTTCGGACGCTTTGAGGAGACTGACCTGCTACTTTTATTGTTCTTGGGCACTGGCTCTCTGTCCTCCTCTCCATCTTCAGAGTCTGATGTGTAAATACGTTTTCTCTTGGAAGACAGCTGATTCCTGGTTTCCCTGTGAGAGGTTCTGTTGGCCCCCCTCTTGTTATACCTGTCTTCCCTGGAAGTTGTGGCTGTTTTGTTACCATTCCTCTGTCTACCCTGGCTTACAGAAGGAGAATCTTCCTCAGAAAGAGAGTTGTCACTGATGTATTTCTTTTTTGGAAGGGTTTGGGGATTAAACCGTCTGTTTGACGTGTTATCTGAATTATCTGACTCTTCGTTCGATGAGCCAGTGGAGCGTTTTCTCCTCAATTTCCTCTTGGGTTTGTATTCCTCCTCTGAACTCTCTGAGGCTGAAGTGTCACCACAAGGCTGTTTAGATTTGCCCTTGTTTCGTGTTGACCTCTTTGTCTTAGATTCAACCTCAGATTCTTCACTGGTGTGACTGCTTTCTGCTTCATGGTCTTCATCTTCTTTTAGCCTTCTTGTGCGCAGGCCAGATCTCTTTGGAGGTTCGCCGAGTTCCTCTGATTCTGCACCATCTACTTTATTAGCTGAGGCAGATTTTTGTTTATCTTGGCTTTTTGATGTTGAAAGTTTACTCTTTCTCTTAACATCCACGTGGATTACTTCCTCCATATTTCTACCGTTTTGGTGTGGGCGTTTCTGCGAAGCGTGATCTTTGTTCTCTTCATACGAGTTAACAGGAGGTTTGCGTCGAGTGGTCCTGCGTTCAGTGTCCTCAACCTCCTCCCCATCTTCCACACTTGCAATCCTCTTTTTCCTGGCCTGAATGGTTGCTGTGCTTCTAGAGGGCTTCTGAGACACAGCTGCCCGTTTTTCCTCTTCACCAGAACTCTCCTCTGCAAGTTCCTCTTGCTCCGAGTTGCTGTCAGACTTATGTTTTGCACCATGTCCATTCACATGGGCCAAAGCATCTGGTACAGAGAAAAAAGGAAAAAAGCTGATTAGAGAAACTTTCATTACAGTTCCAAGCAACAAAACAGCAGGAGATCAAAAACATTAAACTGACTGATGAGGACAACACTCACCTTTTCCTTTAGTCTTAGCAGCTTGTCTTGATTTCCTCTGTTTGTTGGACCTTGTGTCTCCATTCTGCTGATTCTGGGAGGAGGCTGAAGCATCACTGCCACTGCCATCCTCTTCGTCCTTTGATTCACCATCTGATTCTTTTGAATTCTGAGAATCTAGGAGGAAAAAAAAAAAAAAAAGACCTGAGCACAAATCTATCCTGTAAACTACCTAAAACATAAAAATGCACTTTTTACATACATCTTAAAGTGAAAAGACACTTTACATTAGCAAGATCTGTATTTTTCTGTCTTTTTGTTTAAACTAAAATCGAGAAAAAAAACAACCAAACATTTAAAACATTTTTTTAAAAGCACTGCCTACTCCGTGGTGATGGCTCTCCATCTGAGTCTGAGCTGCTCTGGATCACAGCACTGCGTTTGCTTGCCCGGGTTGTGTGGCGGAGGCAGCTACTGCTCCTCCTTCGCTCCTCCTCCTCCTCCTCCTCATAGTTTTCATCTAATGCTTCAAGAAGTTTGATCCTATTCACAGCTGCCCTCGCCGTCTTTCTCTTGAGTGACCTGCGAACCGTGATTTTCTCTTCCTCCCTGTCCGAGCCCTGAGATGTGGCTCTGTCAGAGTCCCGGTGGTGACGCCTCTCCCTGCGAGACAACCTGCTGCTGTGACCGTTCATCTCCACCCTGCCCTCTAAAAACAAACCATGCAGAAGGATGGTTAATTTACTAGCTGCTGAATTCTGTAATTTTTTTTTAGGCCTGAGGTTGAAGACCATTGTCAATGTTCACCTGTTCGTTTCCTGTCTGTGGCAGCGCTGTTTCTGGTCAGCCGCATACTTCTGCTATTTTGCCTCCTGCTGGGGTAGCGACGACCTGAAGACTGAGAAGACACCTCTCCACCTTCACCTTCACTGAAGTCCTCCTCCTCCTCCTCCTCTTCATCATCTTCCTCCTCTTCGCTATCACTCTCTGCAACTGGTGGCAGTAACAGTTCCAGTGACGACATTTTTTTAAAATACACAATTTCCAAATGTGACATATAATCTTCAGTTTTTTTTGTCCTCTAAATACAAGCGATGATATTTGAAAACTGGATTTTAGCTTGAAGAAAACTAATTTCGGACCTTTTTTCGTCTGTTTGGCACAGTTGCTTCTTGTAACTCTTGCTTTCTGTCTGCGTTGATGGTGCCTTGAGGAACCTGGACGTTTTCCGTCCTCCTCCGACTCACTCAGTTCACTCTCACTGTCAGACTCTGAAGTGGAAAAATGTTGGATCACGTCAAGATTTAAATTAATGAATTAAGCATCTTCAAACTGTAGCTGTCAGTTCTCCAACTTTTTTTTTAGGATAATTCAAAGGGAAGTATCCATTTCCATGAATAGGAGGACTGCTGTAAGCAAAGTGATGTGATAGACCAAATGAGGTTAATGTGCCATGTTTAGGTCCAACTGGACAGCAATGCTTAATCTGAGCTGGAATAAATCAATTAACGCATTTCAATACAACAAATTATTTTACTTTAATTTACTATAAGTAAATAACCTATTTATCATCAGTAGGCAAAGTGTGTACCTGATGTGGATGAAGCTGCCTTGGAGCTGGAGTCGTCCTCCGAGGAGCTGTGACCTGAGCTGCTGCTTCGACTCCTCCTGGCTCTTTCAGGAACAGACACTTTGGCTGAGGTAGATTTGGTCACTGATGTCGACTCCACTTTTTCCTGAGTTTTGACTGCAGGCTTCTTATGACTTGAGAAAAGCAGAGTGCAACTTTTCATCAGACAGTGGCATGGGAAATTATATGATGCCTAAAACCTAACCATCAAACAGTCAAGAATAAAATCAGGTCAGTATTAAATTAATTTACAATGGAGAGAGATCAATTTCAACCAAATACCTAAACCAGATTTTAATCCATGACCTTATGTAGGGTGTACATGGTGTGCCCACTGATCTACTCCACTGTTAAGCAGGTGACCTGAGGAGAGGCAGACCTCAAACTGACCTTGTTGTGGTGGTGGGCTGATCCTGCTGCTGCATTTTCTTACGGAACCTCTGACTGCGACGCAGCCTATCGCTGCTCTTGACAGCAGTTTTGTACTCAGATATGACTGTTCTGATGTGCTCCTCGAAAAAGGCTGAAAGTCTCAAGGTCATACTGTAAATCTGTGAAAGAACAGAAAAGAAATACAAAATCAGTCAAAAACTGTGACGTCAAAGTGCAAATCACCTCCAAACCATGAGAAACTCCAAACATCACATTCTTTCACAGACCTGAATTACTCCCCTACCTTTGATCGTTTATTAGGCGTGTAGGCTTTAGCATTGGCAAATATTAGTCGGGTATCTTTGCAAAGCTCTACAGGGTTTTCATAATGGTCTTCCTCCAGGGTGCTTTTTATGGTGCCAAAGTCCATTGGCGTATCAATGATATCATGGTAGTCCTGGACGTGCACACAAAACACGATTTAGACTTCACCTTTGCCAAAACACAGGAACACAAGGAAGACAAATTGTAACCTGCTTAGTGAATTGCATGACCTCAGTGCGCTGTGTTAGCTTACTGGATAGTTCTGAGGATCCACAGGTTGTCTGAACGGCTCTGAGTCCTCACAGTCAAATATGTAGTTGAGCAGATTCTTGCACTGTTCCTTCCAGGCGTCTCTGTCAGGCAGCACCTCTACAGAGTGCTGCAAGTATCAGGAAAGGAAAAGGGGAGACAGTCATGATGTGCAACGCGCGTGCTATCTGCTGCTACTGACTCATTAACAGTGAATCTATCACCAAGCACTCATCTTGAATTCCTAATCCAGACAATCACATTTTAGGGCAACAGTAACGAGATGTAGTATGTTTTTATTCATTTACCTGGCGCAGTCGGTGTCCAGAGGAGGTTCCTGGTGCTTCTGTATCCTCATCCTGGAGGCAATAAACAAATCAATTACTAGACTTCAATCAGTGAAATTATATGTTAATTTTCTACTGCTGAGGGGTCATTCATAAATGGAAAACAGCCACCCTAACAATCAATTATAACTGCTTGTGAGCAATCACAGTCTCCTAAATCATTTCTTCTAAATCACCCAGTGAAAAACAAATCACAGTGCAGACTAAATGTCTTCAAATACTTTTTATGTATTCCTATCTGTATTTACTTGCTAAGCTAATTAGTTAATTAATTAAACATTTGACTAACATAATCATTTGACCAATATGTGATACATATGGTATATAAAATGAATGTTACTATATTAAGCATTAAAGCTATTTATCTAGACTTACCTCTTCATCATCATCCATCTCTTCAACAGCATTGTAAATCTCCATAATATCTGTACAACTTGGTTTACTGAGAAAACAAGGAAAATATTACAACTTTAAGCTTTTATGCCATTTCTTTAAATCTTACTGTGCTAGAACTTTGGGTATCATCATATATTCTATAGATGTTTATGCCTTTATTTGATAGACATGTTCAAAAACTATTTTCTCTTACAGACTGATTCTTGGATGACAATTTAATCATTATGCGATGCATTTTGTAAGTTTTTTTTGGGGGGGGTCGTTAAGGTAATCATTTTGTTAGTTTTTTTTGGGGGGGGGGGACACTAGTCTAGATAAACTACAAACAGAACTTACTTGACAAATTTCTGCAGGACATTTGTGATGATTTTTGCAGAGTGGGCTATCTTGCTCCTTGGCTCATTGAAAGTGTGGGCGTTATGGGCAATGTACCTGGCATCCCAAATTAATGCTGAAAGTCGTCTGTGGATCATTAAAGGCTGAGTAAATATACAGCTTTGTACAAGATGCAAGTTTATAAGAATTCCAGGAGGCAAACGACAACACAAGGACAGATCAACAGACCAGTCAATAGTACAAATAACTACACAAATTAATTCTGACCAGCAGTTTCAACTAGGTGGAAGAAAGAATGGTAGGTTTGACCTGTAGAATCTGTGCATGAGTCGCAGTCTGATGGTGCCCAGGTCAGTGGGGTAGGCAATTACAGTGCAGTAGGTGGGATACTGGCCCAGGTCCACAGGGCCAGAGAAGGGAGCGGCAATCTCTGTAGCAGGACACAATGTAAGGTGGGTTAGAAGACTTTTTTTCACAATTATATGAACCCACAGGTACCCTGATGTGAGTAGCACAGCGTGACCACACATAAAAGAAAGAGGGAAGGTAATGGATGTCTGTGTACACACCGACAGTGATGAGCTGGTTGATGCCAGCAATGATGCGCTCGCACTCTTCGTCCCTGCTCCTCTCCCCCCACTCTCCTGGCAGAGGCTTGTACATCAGCTCACTCATTTCCTCTGCTGTCACAGAAATGCCACCTCCTTCTGTCTCCGGCTGCTGGGCTGCACAGCAGAGGCAGACTTGTTTAATATACAAACCTACTTAACCCTGCTTTGTTAACGCACCCCAGTACTGTGAGGTTGATGTTGCCATAAGTAAAACTTCCCAATTACCATCATCTGGAATAGGCTCCACATCCCAAGGACTTAGTTTCTCAATTTCCCCATTGTCCCACCTGGTGAAAAACCAAAAACAAGTGTTGCCAAAGTCAACTATTATACTTCAACAAAACTAAGGACTGCCTGTTATATAAAAAAAAAAAAAGATTACAAGTGAAAAATATGATACTGTCATAAAAAAAACATGTTTTTGTTTTGTTTAATTTTAAAAACTACAATTAAATGTGTTAATGTCATTACAAGAACACGCAATGTATTGCCTATTAGTAACCACTAGGGGGACAAACTAATCTGGACAGACCAACAGAATATACTGTAGAGTGTAAAAGGTATATTTAATATACAACAGCAAAAAAAAAAAAAAAAAAAAAAAAAAAAAGAAAAAAAGTGTGACATCTAATGTCAAATACAGGACAGAAAATGCTGGATTTGTATTTACTCCTCGCCACCATCAGCGATAAAAAATAGACAGATAATCCAAAAGCCAGCCACAATTTTCACTTCACACACTGCTGTTTGGAAAGGCAGACAGTTTCCAAGCTTTGCTTCAAATAGTGAATAGTATGCCATAGAAACTAGCATATAATTTGTACTGGTGTTGACGCCATAACTCCACTGTCAAGTCTTGTTCTGTCCTGAATGCATGCATTTTTCCTCACTTGACTTTGAAGCACTGGAAGAGACTGTCTGGGTATTCTGGCTGGTAGGGCTCCTGACAGACAATGGTCCCAAACCACCAGGCATCGTCTATCACAGAGCGGAACCTGTCGTCTGCAACAGAGAAAACATTACCAAGTTCAGCTGAAATATGCCCGGTGCCTACTGATGCAGATGGCTGCACTGATGATTCCTTAGAAACCGAACAACACTAACTTCATTTATCAACAGCTGAAAAGAATCGTCACACTGGAATAAGGCTCCTTATTAGTCAGTGTGACATGTTGATGCAAATACACTGCTAGAAACCATCAGTGCTTTTGGATGGATGTATGCATTTAGAAGTGCTGAAACAGGTATACAGATGATGTTGCTCAACATTAAAACAAAGAAAAAAAACCCCATCTCTAACCAAGAGCACTGTGCTCACTTACTTGGTTGCCAGTTTCGACGCAGTGCCTCGTCATAACTCTGCCTCAGCACCAGGAAATCAATCACATCTGGCATGTCGTGATATCTGCAGGTGAAATCAGAAAACAATAATAAGTCTTCAATCTGATACACAATCAAACTGATGAATCAACATCCATAAAAATAAAATGCAGTACCAGAAATTTTGCCTGCATTTCAAATTCAAACTTTTGTCAGCAGAATTTATTTTCCTTGCCATCACAGCAACTCAACACTCAAACAAAGACAGTTATTTCCATATACTAAGCATCTAATTTTGTAATCATCATCTTCATACTTACATTTAGTTCATAAAAGACTCGGGAAAATACCGTCTTGATGTTGGATTGCTAATAAATTAAGAACTGTTTCTCAGGAGACAGTTGGCGAAACTGAGCTGCTTACTTGACAGAAAAGGACTTGTCTGTAATTTTGCCTGTGCCGTGGTCAATAAGAGTCAACTTCAGACAGCAAAGTGTTGGAGGGCAGACTTCATATTTGATCCCAGTGATCTTCACAAACTCTTGGTCCTAGAAAATATGCAGCAGGGTTTTCTAGATTATATTAAGCTTCTTAAACTTTTTCAGGATTCTGTACATTGTTCCAAACTCTTCTACTGGGAACATCTCACTTTCTTCTTAACTGCCTTAGTCTTACCCGCAGCTCCATTTTCTTCCAGGGCTGTTTGTCTAAGTTGATTGGGTACAGCTCACTCCGGTTCACTGCCTCAACATAGGCCTCGTGTCCCTGCCGAAAGTAGATCACCTGACAGACACAGAGAGATTCTGACCTTAGATCCTAAGTGACAGCCTATGTGACATGATACAGGATGAAGACCGTGATGTCCTGCTAAACCACCAGCATGATATTTGTATTAAAATTCATATTGCTGATTTCTAATTTTCTTAGGCTAATCTCATCCATCATTTTAGACAATTTTTATATTTTCTCCATTCCGCTATGGCTGTGACCAAGTTTTTCACAATAATTATTAACTGATCTTGGTGGCATAAAGAGCATAAGTTCTTGAAATTCTTTTTGTACAAACAAGCTACAGAAATCTCATTGTCCTGTAAGGTGCCTCTCCTCATTTTTAATGTACGTACCTCATCGCCCATTTGTGGAACAAAAGGAGACTTCCTGGGAATGACATCTGTGATCCACAGTGGGGGTCTGAACTCATTGGACACTTCTCTGTTGATGGACAGTCTGACCTTTGGATGCTGATTAAAGAACCAAGATTTAAAACATTAAGTGTAAATATGAACAGACATTTGTTACAAATTTCATCGTCGTATTTCCTCACCGAAACACTATAAATCAGAGTCTAGGTAAAGACTATTCAGCTGAGACACACAGTGACACATCAGGACACCATTTCTAACAACTCACCCTAGGTGACTTGTTCTTTGCTTTCTTGGTCTTCTCTTTGCTTTTCTTCCCAGGCTTTTCCTCCTCGTCACTGTGCTGCTTCTCCTCCTCTTCCTCATTCTCTCCCTCCTCCTCTTCAGAGGTGCTGAGCCTGCGCCGTGCTCGTTTCCGTGACGACAGGGGGGTGGAGGGCTGCAGGTTGATACCAGCATCTGCCGTCCAGTCCGAGTATTCACTGGATGTGTGGCTATTCAATAATAACCATGTATGATTACCATTTCAAGTTACATAGATGAAACTGGCCAATACAAACTCAATTAAACTAACTTTTGTGAACCTGCTTAGGGTACCAGATGGGTGGGGGGTGTCACCAGACAACACAGAGGAGTAACAAAGTTTTAACATGAAGGCAGACACAGGCATATAGCCTGTGATTAAGGAAAACCCTTTTATCTGGTACGCTAAACAAGTTCAAACAAATCATGACAGTTCGTCTTCAATATTACACGACTCTTGTCTATAACACTTTATACCTTGAGCTATCACTGTTCCACTCCTCATCATTGGAGGAATCCAGTTCACTGCCATCCAATTCATTGTCCTG